GTGTGTGCGTGTGCGTGTGTGTGACAATCAACCGACCTGCGGCGAGTCAAATGGATATCTCGGGGTGAACTTGAAGCCTAGCTGGAACTTTTCTCCTTCATACAACGTGCCAGTGGCTCCGTCAATGTCAACCACCCATCTGTGAGAGAGAGATTTCTAGTTTTAGTACGAGTTTTACGGCACTTGCAACACAATAAAAAGGTCATATAAGTGCTGAAGATTAGAAGTGCTACAAGAGAGTAACAAACACAAAAAAAAAGAAGGAGGAGAGATAAGGACGATAGATGTTTGATAGGAAAGAAGAAGTAAACCACACCAGAGCACCCATCAACCACCCACAAACCAAGTTTGCCGCAGTTGATACGGATTGTTCATAGAAAGTGAAAAAAAAAAAAACCCCAACAAAAGAGAGGGGCGGGGTGGGGGGAACAAACAAGACCGCACAAGCCTATTATGTTTGTTTTTTTGCCTCAGCACGGAACAGAAAAATTCAGAACGCTGGGTCTCAAAGCGAAACAGTATGATCTGCTGACAAAAGTGTTTAAAAAGTCAAAACTTTAAAAAATAAAATTACGTTGATTAGAAACATGGACTGATCGATATATATCCACTTACGACTGACAGAGAAAATCGCCACCCTCCAGATACGACTGGCTAGCCCATATCCTTTTCTTTTCTTAGTGGATGATGATAATAATAATAGATAGCATTTGTATAGCGCAAATCCCCGCTCAACAGCAAGCTCTATGCAGCAAGCTCTATGCAGCAAGCTCTATGCAGCAAGCTCTATGCAGCAAGCTCTATGCAGCAAGCTCTGTGCGCTTCACAATCTGTACTATTTGCAGCGACAGTAAGTTATACACGTGTAATAATACAACCAAACTTGCTGTAACAGCCAAATGCCTGAGACTACCACACATGATGTGTACAGGTAGCCATTCCCATTCCCCCCCCCTTGAATTTCTTTTCCCACTATAATGGCTCTGTGCGAGACCGCTGCCTGTCTAATACGGGGTGCCCACTACAGCTGGATCAGGCCGACGCCCGACTCGATCGCCTGAAACTGAAGACAAACACGTCTTTAAAAAATTTTTGAGGCGATCGAGCGGGCGATCCGCTCAATCCTATCCGTAGTGGGCACCCCGTGTAAGGCAGCCACTTTTCTCCTCAACAATGGGTGGCCTTCCAGGACAATTTCAACTGTATTTACATATATATATATATATATATATATATATATATATATATATATATATGTATATGTGAGGCACCGTGGTGAAATCAGGCGCATGTCAAAATAATCAAAGAGAAAAAACTGGCATTTTCTCGCAGGTACGTGAATTTTTATCGAATTTTTGTTTTTTGGCTCAACACCTTTCATGCAAATTAAAGAACACATTTCTGGTGTGGATTTTTACAGAAGAACGTAGATTAAATGTACAAAAAATGTAAATTGACAATTTCCATGGACGTTCCAGCTAAGGAAATAACGAAACCTTGCAGCTAATTTTACCTCTGAAACCCACCTTTATTCGCAAATATCTTGACTTGTATCTGAGATAACTGGATATTTTAAAAAATCAAAAGCAAGGCAAATGGACAGGCTTTAAGATAATACAACATCAATTACTCCATATATGCCCAAAATTTTAGGAGAGCCTGATTCCACCGCGTGGTGACACATCCCAAGAAGGGAACAGTTGCGACTTACTCTGATAGATTGGAGCTGAGGCTCTCCATGTTCACCTTGACACCCACCGGGGGGTCTTTGGTCATCGCCTGCAGCTCCTTCTGGAGCCGTTTCTGAGAACAAAGAAACAAGGGTGAGTGCTGGCATAGTTGACGACGTTCTACAGCTGTGAGTGCTGGTTCAGTTGACGGTCTACCGTCTACCTCGGTGTTTCTGGTTTAGTTGACCGTCTACCGTCTACCTCGGTGTTTCTTGTTTAGTTGACGGTCTACCGTCTACCTCTGTGTTTCTGGTTTAGTTGACGGTCTACCGTCTACCTCTGTGTTTCTGGTTTAGTCGACGGTCTACCGCGGTGTTTCTGGTTTCTGACAGATTTGTACTAGGTAAAAGCCAGCAGCCAAACATCTGGCGGTCCAAATCAGCGCTAGTCCTAGCACAGTCAGTATACACACAAGTACAAAAAAGGCCAATAAATTACAACTTTTCACATTAATTCCCGCGCGTTTTTAAGATCGAAACATGGGTCTAAAAGTAGAAACGTCAAAATAACTTGAATAAAACGTTTATATTTGTGTAAAACGGATAAATTACAAGCATGAACTAGAAAAGGGCTTTACAAAACTTGAACAAGAGATAAAGATGGTAGTGAGTGAAACGAAAAGAATGCAAGTGGCTATTCTCACCCCGGGTGAGAATAAAAATACGATCGACACCTTTCACCCTGGGTGAGACTTGCCAACGTTGGCTATTCTCATCCGGTGTGAAACAAAAACAAAGAAAAAAATGATGTTATAGAGCTCAACAGTTAACTAAACTGGTCGTCTACAAAGATGCTACGGCTATTTCACTTTTCGAATCGAGCCGAACTACGTGGGTCGCCATTTTGTTTAGCCCAGAATTTCTTGCTAGGCCTTCTCCTTCTCTCTCACTCTCTTTCTGAACACTGTCTATTAGTGTGGACCATCAAATTGACAAAACAAAGAAAAAAATGATGTTATGGCATGGCGCAAAAGTAAATTAATTTGATCATCTACAAAGATGCTATGCTATGGCTATTTCGAATCAAGCTGAACTACACGGCTCGCCATTTTGTTTTGCCAGAAAGTTCTCGCCACTCCTCTTCTCTCTCTTTCTCTCTCTCATTGCCCGCAGATAAAATTGCACGCTTTCAACACAAGAGCGCTGGAACGTTTGTTCACGGTGAACTCTACACTGGTTGGCCTATCACGGTGAACGCACACTCATCGCCTGAGCTATTCTCACGGAGGTCTAAAAGAATACCCCCCAAAAATAGCATTGACACTTTTAGAAGCTGAGTATCTACAATATTATCTAGAATAGGCCTATTAGGCTAGACATCTAATTAATATATCCTCGATCTAGGCTAGAAATCTAGATTCAAGGCTTTGGGGAGAGTTGATTCACATGAATTTATGAATTACAATATAAGATCTAGCTGCTCTATCTTGGAACTTGAACATTTTCATTTTAGATGAAGTGGATAGCCTGAACTGTGCTGCATGCAAGATGCTGAATTAATTCTATTTTTAGGCCTCCGACTATTACTTTTAGCCTTATATTATAGGAATAATATAAGAAGAAAGAACGTCCCATCCAAAGATTGGGTGTTTTTTTAACTCATGCACCCATCTCATGAAACACGTTTTATATAGCTAGAATCTACAGGCTACTTTTTTTTTCTTGATCTAGTAGTATAAATGCATGCTGAACACGAAATATAATATAAATGGCCTTCATTTTTGCCGCAAATCAATAGTATTGAGTTTTATTGGTGTGTGAAAATGGTAATATTTTCTTGACTTGATTTTAACAACAAGGGGGGTTTCAGGTGGGCATGCCCCCCCCTCCCCCCCTGTATTTCACAATAATTTGATTTTTGTGACAATTAGGATTGAATATATTTATTTGAAAACAATTGATTTGCAAGGGTTTTAGTCGCCATACGTATGTTCTACAGCAAAAATCAAGGCAGTTTAGCCCTCAAATCAATGCTTCTGTGTGTGTGGGTGCAACAGTAAAAATTTACCACCAAAGATTGTTTGATGTGATGTTCACTTTACGGCTATGGAGTGTCTACAAACACGGTAACCGGGCGCCTAGGCCTAGTCTCAGTATCTACGTACATGGTAACCGGGCGCCTAGTCTCAGTATCTACGTACGCAGTAACCGGAATGAAAATAAATCATTATTTGTCCTGGCTGTCACTGCCTGAAAAAAAAAGAAAGTCATACGTCTTGGCGGGCTCGCCATCGTGACCAGTCAGTGAACCTGCGCATATGCATCACATTGTGAGTACCGGTTGGGGTCACCAAAGTTCATTCAAAGTCTGTACTTTTACGCTGCGAAGTATAGGGCTCCAGAAAGGGGGGATTATTTATTTTTTTTAAAGGTACAGTCGGGGAAGGGGTGGGGATGAAAGCAACACAGGATGACAAAATCTGAACTTGGAGTTCTGAACTGCCCGGTTACCGTGTACGTGACACTGAGACAACATGCCCGGTTGCCGGTTACTGTGTACGTAGATATTGAGGCTACATGCCTGGTTACTGCGTATGTGACACTGAGACTACGTGCCCAGTTGCAGTTACCGTGTACGTGTAGACACTCCTTAAATTAATAACATGATCAAGCCTCCAAGACTTAGGACTAAGATTCAAGATAGTTTTGTCACTTTAGACTAGTTTAGACTTAGACGACAGGCAGGGAAGAAGAGGCCAGAAGGCTGGAACGGATAGATTCTAGAGTCAACTAGATCTAGATCTAGAATCTCTAGAAGAAGGGGTGTCTACAGTCTATCAGTCTTTTCGTGTCTTTGACTTTCGATGCAAGTCACGGGACTCAGAATTAAATGTGTATGCGAACATGCCTACTTGTTTGCATTCAACATCAATCTAAAATAGACATAGATTTAGATCTAAATCTAGACTCCTGTTCATACAAACGTATAATGCGAGTAAATTGTCCAGCAATTAATTAGTAGATTATCTATCTATGTATACAACATACTTCCATAGAAGTCATTTCGTTGGAAATGGATGATATGATGACCGTTTCCGTATTACCAGATTACAGTCTCAAAGTTTATTGCCAATTACGACACAGTTTGACATGAAAACTTCATTCTAGCCTATTTTTGTACAATTATTAATTTTATTAACTTGCTGGATGGTTTATGATGACGAATTTTAAAAATACAATCGGAATTATGTAGAATTTTCTTTTTATGTGGCTGTAGGTGAAGAATTAATCGAATACTGAATCAGAACAACAAACATACAACTTGGCATTCTACTCTTTCACTGTTTACATATATTTTCGAATATATTTTGCTGTTTTTCTATTATTTTATTATGGCCTGTGAAACATTTTTTTTTAATGACAAAAAGTAGTAGACTGTAAAACTTGAACAGAAAATTTGCATGTTTTGGTTCTAAAAAGCGAAACCTTGTATGCTAGTAGCTTTACACGTAGTTGCCAGCATGGCGCCTGTAAACGTTCGTCTGAATCCCGTTGGGGTTGTAATTTTTGTAATTGGTCTTATTCTTAGTTTGTTTTACTTATTTGGAATGCCTGACTTGTTTCGCAGAGAACAAAGAGTTAGCATGAAAGAGCTTTTAGCTGTAAGCATAGGACTAGCTGAAAAAGGAGGAGACAGAGTCAAGGCGATACACGACTCAAAGCAACTGAATGAAGCTGTCAAAGGAAAGACCAAAGAAGGTGTCGATGAAATGTTGACAAGCGGTGATTTAGAATCCCACAAAGCTATATTTTATGGATTTTCAAAGATGTACCCGAGCATAAAGGTAAGTGCAGTTAGTTCCATCACTTTCTCTTTTGTGTTATAAACTGATTAATAATGGTTGTGGTGCAAAGTTTATGGCGGCGCCTGCTAGAATTGTGACTGTGACACACTCTACTCTATTTCTATGTTATATTATAATTCTATAGACTAGATCTAGTTTAGATCTAGATCTAGATCTAGATTATCTAGATATAGATCTAGATCTAATCTAGATCTAGCTAGAGTACTACTCCCCTTTCCCTAAGCATTCGAAACGCTGTTAACGGTGATGTCATGTCGTCACACTGCACTGTAAACATCAACAACACACGCGCGCTCAGTGACTGGCGCTGTGAAAGTGATGGACTTAGAAATCTAGATCTAGATTCTATATCATATAGATCTAGGAGAAAAACAATTCGACAGCACTCCGAATAGCGGAAGTTAGGTCTAGGCTTATCATAGCCTATATTATATAGAAAAAGCTATTCAACGACGCTGTGGATAGCTAGTGAATGTAATGTTGAATAGTGGAAGTTAGGAGTTAGGTGTGGGTCTATCATTATACAAGAAAAAACCATTCGACAGAGGTGTTCGAATAGCATGAATAGTTAGCTCACGCTTCGATGAATTTTTGTTTCCTCAAAATCACACAGCACTAGAGTCTAGTCTGATCCATACCACGCTAAAGAATGGAGAAAAAATGCCAGATTGAGATCATGGCATCACTTTTCGCCCAATTCTGTTACCTTAAGTTTAGTAGTTAGCGTGACTCAGCAGCCCGCCGGAGCTCCTCGGCTCGGGGTCATGAGGCTAATGAGCGCTGGAGCGACTTTGCCGCTGTCGGTTAAGAAGTTCGCATTTTTGTCTACGTTTGAAACGAAAATAACTTCTTCCCCATTCCACACAGCACACCATTATGCGCATGTTCTAAAAGCTCAAATGTCTTGAGATTTATTCTTCGTTAGAATGGTTAATTTCTGAGCCTTAGTTTTTGTTCTAGACAATTGTTTGTAGAGTACCCAATTTGTCCTATTTTAGTTACAAACTTATGAATAAAAGATTGTTTGTTTTTAAAAGGCATGACAGATCTCTCCAAAATCTGGGTTAAACTGACTACGAATATCATGTCTTTTACCATGAGAAATCTTATATCTGCGCGAGTAGTAATAGTCAAGTTGAGAAAAGAAAGATGCACATCTGCATTTTTTATCTGAAGACACTCAGTGCTAGCTCTTGTTTTACCATTAAACAAGAGAAAGTTACTCTGTGTTTGTTCATGAATCATGCAGTGTCTGTGGCAGCCTGCATACAACTAAGAAAGATATATATATATATATATAGATCTAAATAGATCTATATATTTTAATATTATTATTATAAGATTTCTTAAAAACACAAAAAAGTGTGTTAATACATGGGTAGAGATGAACTTCTTGTATGGAATAAAAATAGGCCATCGTTATTCGGACTCGAGTCAGAATAAAAAAAATTCTTATTCGGACTCGAGTCCGAATATGAAAAAATGTTATTCGGACTCGGGTCCGGAAAAAAGGAAGTGTCTTCGTTCTATAGATCTAACGTTCAGTGCTTCCAATTTTCGGCCATTTTTTAGTTTTCCCCACACCTTATCTGCCGATCCAATGCCCGCCGCCTCATTGATACGCCTCCCCCCCCCCCCCCCCACGTTTCCCACTTTCATTGTTGTAGAAAAAGGTAAAATTGAAGATTAGCAGACCACCTGGCATATTATGAGCTGTGTAAAAAAAAAAAAAAGACCGATTCGTTCAAATACACAAGCCTGTGTCATATCGATTGTTTACCAAGAAAAAGTTGTGTTGCTGTGTAGAGCCGAGCATACGGCAACTTTTGATTCCATAGACCAGCGCACAATTCATTACGTATTCATTACGTAGATCTATGTCAAGACTAGCTTATTATTGTAATAATGATAAGTTGCCAGGGGGGAAAAGACCGACGCTTATGCGACGTTCAAAGCCCGGACCGATAGTGCCCCCCACCACCCTCCCCGACACGCACACAGCCACACGTGTGCCGGCCGCCCATCCGACCCCGACACATGCTAACGAGCCATCTTTAATTGCTTCTGATGACCTCTTGACAAATAAACATTTATTAGAAGCGCTATAACTTTTCAGGCCGGCCTCAAATTCATCGTAAGATAAAAACTCCGCTCCTGCACAAAACGCCATTTTGCCCGAAGTGATCCCGGTCTCTACCCAGCCTGAGGCGAGTCACGAGTGAGGCAGGACAGGAAGCCGGATTCACGAGTCACAGGAAGTCGGAAGTGATGTCATGCTGGACAAGAATCAGAGTCCGAATAACATTTTTTCATATTCGGACTCGAGTCCGAATAATCACTTCGGCTTGATAAAAATAATGACAGACATTCATTCTTAGTTTTTGTGTTGGACATATGCTCGGACACTTATCATTATGAATGTAATAAAATCAGAACATTGTCAGTTATTGCAAATGGTTTTTATAGAAATGAAAATAAAAGCTGGAAAAGCCTTGCTGATTCAGTGTCTCAGGAAAGCTAGAAATTATTTTTATAAATTTTATACAATCACAAGAAGTCATCCGAGTTATTCAGTCAACTTACAAAACCTAGATCTAGTGTTTAAGAAAAATATCAGGAATAATTTATGGAGTGTAACTGATTGCCTACTGTTCGTGTATTACATTGTTGTAAGAGTTGTAGATTCTGGCACTAAAATCAGTTTACACTTTTTCATTAGGAGACATTAGGATAATTTTGATAAACTTTAGAGAAAATATGCGAATATTTCAGATTATATTAGACACATTAAAAAAAGTTGTATTTGGAGGAATTACTTCATAGCGAATTGTGTGCGAGATGGATAAAGTTGAAAAATTACAGCTTCCTATTATAATATGCACAGATTCCATCTTTTCTGAGTATCTGCACCATTGCTATGCCGTTCATGTTCCAAAAGTTCGACATTTTTGTCGCGCTTTTTATTTTATGTTGATTTTTTTTCATTCTCACTTGTACAAAAAATGTTATAATTTAGCATTGCCGACTTCAGCGCGTCTAACGAAATAACCAGACAAGCTGCAAAGTCCGTTGTTTTTTTGGGTCTCTAGAGCAGAAATGCGTGCTTTGGGTGCATTAAATGATAATTACCATAAATACAAGGATACACCTAAAACTACGTTGAAAAGTACCCAAAATTAAGTCGGCCCAGACAGAGCGGCGACAGGGAGCTGACCCCCGTGACCTCGACGTGATAAGGCGCTCGGCGGGGAACCCCCCGCGGCAACTAAAATTCCACCGCTGGTGCGCCATGAGATAAATAAAAGGCATTTTCTACATTGTAAACACAGCAGTATGAAATCAGTATGCTCGAGTTATTAGTAATTATATAAGTTAGAATTGTTATTTTTTGTATAATTTTGGGCGAGGAATACTTTTTAGTTCACTTCCTAAATTCAAAGGTTGAGCCCATTTTTTGTATTTAAAAAACTTATTATTTTATGTTACAAAGATTTAAAATTGTTGAATAACTGCAAATATTTCTATGCTTTCACACATACTATTAATCACACACACTGACACACATGCATTCTCAGATAAGGACAACGAGAAAGAAATAGATAAAAAAAGAGAGTGAGAGCTATACAAACATTCACCCACTCACTCGGTCAGACCAGATCCACATATATATTCAAATGGAGCGTTTTTCAGAGAACGTGTCGTTTCCTGACTCCTGTATCTGTTCAGCACTAATAAAGTCTGTGTTCAGTTTCAGCTTCAGAATCTGAGTTGATGTTGCCTCATAGCCATATGTGTCTCGACGTGGTGGAATCAGGTGCTCGTCAATTTTTGGGCATATATATGGTGTTATTGCTATCATCTTTTTTCATCTGTCTTGCTATTGATGAAAAAATTATCAATTTATCTTGAAAACAAGTCGAAATATTTGTGATTAAAGGAGGTGGAAATTGCCTGGTCTCAGAAGTGAAAATGACGGTAAAAAGGCCGTCAAAGTTTGGTAACTCTTTAGCTAAAGAGTCCTTAAAAACAGAAAAATGACACATTTTGTGCCTTTAACCAATGTTTTTCAATTAAATTCAAATGGAAATAAATGTGTTTTTATATATGGACATAAAGAAGTTGAGACAAAAAATAACAATTTAATAAAGAGGTCCAAACTGGGAGAAAAATACCTGTTTCTCCGAGTTGTGTATTTTGATGAGCGCCTGATTTCACCACGCTGCCTCACATATATATTCTTGTTGAACATTTCTCTGTCATGACTAATCCTTCAGACTGATATTTGTCGGAGATGGAAGAAAAGGAGGCCCTCTGGCCCCGCTCATGTTCAGAGAGTGACTGGTGTATCTAATGCTGTGTGCTCCCCACAATGTTCCAGGTGATCTCTGAAGAGCACGACATGAAACCTGTCGACTTCAACCAAATCACCGGGGTTGAAACAAAGCGGCAAGAAGTTGAGGATGTTATCAAGAGTGATCAGTCAATTCCTATCAGCCGGATAGCAATATGGATTGACCCACTAGATGCGACGAAGGAGTATACAGGTTAGGCTACCGTACATTCTGTAGTTTTCTTTTTAGCCTTCTCATTCTGAAGTGCTCTGTTGAAAACTATTTCAGCTATCCTTGACAGCAGCAGTGAGATATTTTTGTTGAACTTGTCTTCTCGTCCCATTGCTGCATTTTCTCAGGTCTGCTGTACATTTTGTTCCTTTTGTAAATTTCATATTTATAATAAAAATATAAAAATAAATATTACTTTAAAAAAAAGAAAACCTCTTTATCTTACAGCATACTGCTTCCAGCGACTCTGTCAGATTCCTTTTCACCAACATTGTAGTAATTTTCATCAATTGCTGAAATGGGTATCTCTTAGAGGGTGTTCTGTAGGTAGATGAAGAACTATGACAGTAGGTTCATTTGTTTTGGTTAAATGACCAGTGTAGTTTAGTTACCGACATGTTTCTGACTCTCAGGTTTACTAGAAGAGAGCTCTGGCAGAGTGGGAAATTCCTCCGGAGATAAAGAGCTCTCCACCACCGTCGCCAATATGGCTATGGCTGTGTAATCCTCGTCAATCGTCCAAACCGGACAACTAGTTTTTGTATTGTGATCATAGTTTCCACGGATCCTTCATTTTTCCCCTCTTCATGAACACCTTTCTACCCACATAAACATTTGTAAACATGTAGGAAAAAAAGTATTCAGTTGTCATGTCGACATTAATTTGGCTATGTTTGGGGCCGGGGGCTTTGATTTTTTAAGATGCATGTATTCTCGGAATAGAGCCAGTTGGTAGGGTGATGTAATTGGATTTAACACTTTGCAGTCACTTGGCGCAATAATGCGCCGGTGAAAATGATCCGTTCCGGTCACCTGGAGCGCTTCTGTGCCAGGCCCGAGAGGTCTGTTTCAGTGACTCTCCTGGCTGGGTGACCAGATGGTGTTTGGCACTGCTGGCTGTGTGACCAGAAGGGGTGTTTGGCACTGCTGGCTGGGTGACCAGATGGGGTGTTTGGCACTGCTGGCTGGGTGACCAGATGGGGTGTTTGGCACTGCTGGCTGTGTGACTGCAAAGTGTAAAGCGCCTTTGTGTGTGGAGACAAGTCATGACCACAATGTGATGTCAGTCGTTTCTAACAGGTTTTAGTGAACTAGAAATGATGTGTGTTTTCTGTTGCAGAGGACCTTTTACAATATGTGACAACTATGGTATGCGTGGTGGTGGACGGAGAGCCCAAGATTGGTGTGATCAACAGACCTTTTGAAAAAGAAACGAGTAAGTGTTTTTTTATGTTGTTTTTTTTTCTCCACTTCATTTCCGTTTGTCGTACCTGGTGCAGGACAAAAATGCGGAACTTTTTGCTTTTTGCTGTAGTATGGACGTCATGGAAGTTGGCGAAAGTTGCCGTCTGTGGTTGCCTGTAAGACGTTACATGTTTGTCACGCCAGTCATCTGGCTCAGAGTCTCTTGATCGAAGATTTAGCCGCAAACACAGCCTAGATGAATATTTGTGAATACAAAAAATGGGCATGGCTGTACCGAATTTAGTAGTATTAATTTATTACCAAGCTTGCGAGCTATTGATAAGCATAGGTGTACTCTCGCAGAGGATAACATGCTCTCAACAAAATAATTTTATAACGGCAGAAATTTCAGTTTTTGACTTAGATGTGCAAGTTTTCAGAGATTATTAGAAAGATGGGGAATATAGAGAACTAGTTGGGCCCCCTTTCGATGAAAGGAATGATCGGTGCATTAACATCAACTGAAAGTCATTGGCCTACTATATTTACGCTTTACTGGAAAGGAGCAATCTTGAGAGGTTAAAAAATTAGAAGGTCTAGATCTATACTCTCAAAACAAAATGCGCCTCGTGAAATACACTTCCGGCACTTACGTTGTTAAGGACAGCTACGTACCGGTACTTCCGTTGTGAAGGACAGCTATGCAGATTTGTGTCGTTTCTCAGTGGAATAATCACAAAGGCCAAAGAAGGACGGGAACTTTTTGTCAAATATATTTCTCTAAATTCAGGAAATGAATAAATAAAAAAAATCGGGCTCGTCATGGGGACATATCTATCTTTTTGCAGGTACTTGCCAACTTTCAACTCTGTAGCTGTCGTAGTTTTATGGGAAAAATGACACGTGTGTTTCCAAGTCGCCAAATATAGAATAGATGTGGAAAGTGACGCTATGGAAGAGCCAGGGAGGGAAATGTGTCACGAGATGGCTAGATGGAGACAGCGTGTCGGCTCAAATTGAAATGTTGGGCTGCTGCATGGCTGCCAAGCATTCTGTTTTTTTCGTAATGATTACGATTTTTTAGCCTCACTAAGAAATTCTGATCGTAAGGCGATTTATTACGATTATTTCCCGTCAGCAGATTTTTGGCTAGATCTATAAAAAAAATATTTTTGGCTCTTTTTTTTATTTTACAAGTGTTAGTGCAAACATGTAAATCGCCCGCCAATAGTCGGAAAACCGCCAACCGAGGTTGTCGATTGTCTAGTGGTTAGGTTACCAGACTTGTAATCGTAAGGTTGTCGGTGGTCTAGTGGTTACGCTACAGGACTCGTAATCGTGAGGTTGCGGGTTCGGGGGTTCGAGCCGCAGGCCCGACTTTGTGTCCTTGGAAAGGCACTTTACATGAATTTTCCCCTCTTCACCCAGAGAATTGGTATCCGGCCATAGACAGGGAAAGATCTTGTCAGTATGTTAGTCACGGCGTCACTTTTCGCCCGATTCTGTTACTTTTAGTCAGCGTGACTCAGCAGCCCGCTGGAGCTCCCCGGCTCGGGGTCACGGGGTTAATGAGCCCTGAGGCGACTTTGCCGGTGTCGGTCGGGAAGTTCGCATTTTTGACTATGTTTAAAACGATATAACTTCTTCCCCATCCCACACAGCAAACCATTACGTGGATGTACTAAAAGCTCAATGTCTTGAGATTTATTCTGCGTTAGAATGGTTAGTTTCTGTGTCTTAGTTTTTGTTCTAGACAAGTGTTTGTAGAGTACCCAATTTGTCCTATTTTAGTTACAAAGTTATGAATAAATGATTGTTATTTAAAAAAAGGCACGACAGATCTCTCCAAATTCTGTGTTAAACTGACTACGAATATCATGTCTTTTACCATGAGAAATCTTAAATCTGCGCGAGTAGTAATAGTCAAGTTATAAGAGAAGAAAGATGCACATCTGCATATTTTAACTAAAGACGATCAGCGTTAGCTCTTATTTTACTATTAAACAAGAGACAGTTACTCTGCGTTTGTTCATGAATCATGCTGTGTCTGTGGCAGCCTGTGTACAACTAAAAAGATATAATATAAGCGATTTAAAAAACCACAAAGCCGTGTAAATACATGGGTAGAGATAAACTTCTAGTATGGAATAAAAATAATGACAGCTAAAACATTCATTATTCTTAGTTTTTGTGTAGAAAATATGCGCGGACACAATTATGAATGTAAAGAAATCAGTCACATTGTCAGTTATTGCAAAATGGTCATAGAAACGTAAAAAAAGCTGGAAAAGTCTGGTGCTGATTCAGTGTCCCTGGAAAGCTAGAAACTATTCTTATAACCCAATTACGAGAAGTCATCCTTATTATTCAGTCAACTTACAAAACCTAGACTTAGCGTTTTAAGAAAAGTAAGCAATTTCTGGAGTGTAACAGATACTGTTCGTGTATTAGATCTACGTCGAAGATGTATTCTAGCACTAAAATCGATTTGTACTTTTCATAGAGAAACTTCATGGTAACTTTTATAAACTTTCGAGAAAATATGCGAATATTCATGATTATATTAGACACATAAAGTTGTATTTGGAGGAATTACTTCGTAGCGAATTGTGTGCCCGATGGATAAAATTGCAAAATTACAGCCTTCTATTATAAGCGCAGATACCATCTTTTCTGAGTATCTGGACTAATGTTATGTCGTTCATATTCCAAAAGTTCGACAGATTTTGACGATGCGTTTTTTTTATATTGATTTTTTTTCATTCACGCTAGTCCCAAAAAAATTACAATTTAGCATTGCCGACTCCAGCGCGTCTAACGAAATAACCAGACAAGTTACAACGTCCGTTCTTTTTTGAGTATCAAGAGCAGAAATGCGTGCTTTGGGTGCATTAAATGAGAATTACCATAAATACAAGGATACACCTTAAATTGTACGTTGAAAAGTACCAAAAATTAAGTCGGCCCAGACAGAGCGGCGACAGGGAGCTGACCCCCGTGACCCTGACGTGATAAGGCGCCCGGCGGGGAACCCCCCGCGGCAACTAAAATTCCACTGCCGGTGCGCCGTGTAGTGTTTTAGCGCCAATAAAAATGGCAGCTTGCACTGTATGCTTCCCAAGAAGTTGAGGTTGTTTCAGAATGCTGTCAGGTCTGCTGGGGTAATAGTATAGATTGTGAAGCTCATAGAGCTTGCTGTTGATTGTGGATTTGCGCTCTACAAATGCTGTCTATTGTTATAATGTGTACAATATTGTTCCCCAGTTTGGGCGTGGGACGGCTATGGTCATTCAAAGTCCCTGGTTCAGGGAACACAGAAGAGCGGGGAGGAGCATAGCTTCATCGTGTCTCGGAGCCACGCGGGCGACGTGATCAAGGTGGCGGAGGAGGCGCTCGGCAAGAACGTCAAGATTATCGAAGCAGGGGGAGCAGGTACGTGACGCAGGTTGTGGTCGAAGCAGGGGGAGTGGGTACCTACGAGTTGAGTTGTTACGTAGACCTGCATGTTTGCCAACTATCGTCTGAAATCTGACAATCGCGACCCGGCCGATGCTAACTATCGCTAGGCCCACCTGAATTGGTCAATGTGCGAAGTGCAAGTCCCGGCCAGTCGCCAGCGCCCCCTTTTTCTCCGGTCAGCTTTGTCTGCACTTTGGTTTCCATACGAGTTGTTCCGTCACAGCAGTCTCCCAGGTTGTGGTCTTAGCAGACGTCACGACACACAACTCCACGACACACAACCCCACGACACACAACTCCACGACACACGACTCCACGACACACGACTCCACGACACACGACTCCACGACACACGACTCCACGACATACGGCTCCACGACACACGACTCCACGACACACAACATCACGACACACAACATCACGACACACAACTCCACGACACACAACATCACGATACACAACTCCACAGACGCTGATGGGATTGTGGGAAAATACAGTCAAAC